ATTTCTCTCCCTTTTGCCATTTTATGTTAGATCTCTATGAGCTTGAGCCCATAAAACAAAGACACCATTTCTAATCTATCTGATTCAAACACTCAACAAATGTTTGTTAACTCCTACTGTGCACCTCTCGTGGCCTAATAGTAAGAAACGAATCTGCAGTCCCATAAGCACACAGTTCTAATCCACTCACTGCTCCATGGGAGAAGGATAGGCAGTCTCATCCCATGCAATTAACTGCCTCTGAAAACCCGCTGAAGAGTAGCTATGGGCCAGTTCCGACTTGATAGCACTCAACAACTATGCACCAGGCCTTTCCTAGGTTCTGGGGTGTAGCAGTGAGCACAGACAGTTCTTTCTCTCATCAAGTACACTTTCTGGTTTGGGGAGATAATGAATAAACAGAACATTTCAACTAGTGATATACTGACAATAATAAAGTAGGAAGGATGTAGCAACATTGCCTCATTAACAGTAACAAATGTACCGTGGAAGAATTATTGAAGAAGGTAGATGGAGTTTGTTGAAACTCTAAGTATTGTACAATTTTCCTGTAAACCTAATTGCTCTTAAAAAGCTCATTAAAAAAAAATTGTGCTTCCAGATCTCTTTGGGATCTGTGTAAGATACTGATTCTGACTTGGTGGAACTACAGTGGCAGCCTGTTACTTCTCTCCCATGTGATGTTGATGCCAGTGCTCTTTAGATGCTTGGGGATAAGCAAACTACAGTGGTGGCTTGAGCAGGGTGGTCATAGTGGGAATTAGAGCTGTGGTTGGTTCCAGCTTGATGACATAGAACAACAACAACACTACCAATACTATTTATTGTGGATCCAAGCAAGAAGAAATTGTTGTCATAAGATCAAGAGGCAGCATTTGCCCAGAGAGAACGCTCATGAGGGATAAGATAGAAGGATTAATGGAAATGAGAATCACAGTGAAGAAAGTAGTTATGTTGTTAGTATTGTAGTTAATGTCATAAAAAATGTGTATGAATGACTGTATCATTCAAAAAGAGACATCTGGGTGACTCCTCTGCCCAGGGGATGACAGTGATCTTAGGAGAGGCTCGTTTCAGGGGAAAATCAAGAGTTCAGATTTAGATGTACATGTTGGAGGTCACTGTTCAGTGATACTTGAGATGTCACATTTTATCTTTCCATAGAGTACATTTCATAGCTTTTCCTGAGTGTTTCTGGCATGTCTTGCACTGTACTTAACAGTTTAGGACTTCTGGTGGCATCATTCTGTGTTAAGTTAAAGCTGTTAACTCAAAGATTGGTAGTTCAAATCCGCAAACCATTCTATGGTAGAAAGATGAGCAGTCTCCTTTCGTAGACTTACCACTTCAGAAACCCAGTGGTGATTGCTATGGGGTAGAATCAGTGGCTGTGGATTGGCTATTCAACATTGCAATTTAAAAAATATCTGAATGATTGGCTCTTCAATTTCTCTCTCTGCTTCTTTTGCATTGTTGCTGTTAGACACCATTGAGCCACATACAACTCAGAGCAAACGTGTGAACAACTGATCTGAACCCTGTTCTGTCCCATGCCATCCTCGTTATCTCTGACATACTTGATGCAGCTGTTGCAGTCACCATGTCAGTCCATCCGAATGAGTGTAATCCTCTCTTTGGCCAACTCTCCACCTTTCCAAGCACGATGTCCCTCTCCAAGGAATAGCCTCTCCTAACAAACATGCCCAAAGTACGTGAGATGGCTCTTTATCTTTGCCTCCAAGGAGCACTGTGGTCTTGCCTTCTCCAATATGTACCTTTTTGTTCTTTTGGCCATCCATGGGATATTCAGGACTCTTCTTAAACACCACAACTCAAAAGCATTAGCGTTTACTTAAATAAGGGGTATTTTCCAATCCTCATGCCAATATTCTTTACCATGAAATCAACTTATTACTAACTTGCTGTTACTCATACAAAACTATTTCCTTCTAGATGCCAAAAGATGCGATGTGATGCTTATTTAGAGCATACTGTACTAAAGTGTTTTCTAGATTGTAATGAACTCCCTATCTAGAGCTAGATTATAAAATAAAATAAGCTTCTAGCACCTATTGATTCTGATAGAAGCCCCACTAGGAGATGAATTGCTTAATTTTCCCTGGCTTTAGCACATGGCAGATGTGGTGTAACTAATTATTTATTTCCTCAGCTAAACTGCAAAAGTGAACTTTCTCATAGTCCTCAGAGGTTGTAGTTAGAGGGAGCTTGGAGGGAAGTCAGCCGCCCATGACTCCCTTGTCACAAAAGGAAGACGGTGCAACAGTGTGACTGACAGTCCATAATTTTTATTTAGTGTTTTATCATAAATTGATTATTTCTTTAAAATAAAAACATCCCTGTATTTAGTTATGAGAGCAAAAATGTTAATATACCTCTTAGAACTCTGTGCTAACTTACTTTAAGAAAAATCTATTCTAATAATCACTCACATACGTAGAGGAGCCAATCTCTAGAGAAGAACACAGTGCTTGGAAATTAGAGGGTCAGTGAAAGACAGGAAGACCCCCAATGAGAGGGATTGACACCGTGACTATGATGATGAGTACTGCACAGACTGTGGAGATGGTGGATGGTGGGTGGCATAGGACCAGAGAGGATTAGGAGCTGTTGTGCATAGTGTCACTGTAGTGCAGTCTGACTCAGTGGCACCTAACCTGATAACAAGCTATCATATCCCGTTACAGTGACAGTTCAGATCAATCACTTGACTTTGCACATGCTGATATTTTTTATTGCTCACAGTGTTTTTAAGTTCTTTTTATATGCTCTCAAACTTGAGAACTCACTCATAGCTGACGCTGTGAATCACACAAGAAGAGATTGCCTTTGCCTATCTTTCTCCCGTGGAGCAGCTGTTGGATTCTAACTGGCCACCTTTAGGTTGGCAGTGCAACTCCTTAGTCATTAGATTTCAGATTTTGTTAAGATATTTTAAAATATCTGAGAATAAATCTGTTCTCATGTAATGGCTTTAGAAATTCTAGTTTTACTGGGGGGAAAATCTTAACACTTGGACTCACAGAGTTTTTTTGTTTTTTAATGGAATTTTAAAGAAGGCATACCTCTGATATAGTGGTTATGAAGATCCTGTCCAGGGAAATAAGAATATGAAAAATGGTTCTTGGACTTAGGTGGTAGTGAAAAGAAGTAGAACAGTTTGGGCTCTTTGTTAATTGTTGTCATCCAGTCATTTCCAGTTTATGTCCGTTTCATGAGTGAAAGTTCGTGTATGTGAAATATGAAATAAAACATTAATTTGTTCTTTTTTAATTTTCCAACCATAATTGCTGTTTGATTAAAAGTTCACAAGATGTGTTGGTTTTTCATTCAAACATTCATACATGTTTTGTTTTATAATATTAATTACACTATTCATAATGTAATTACAGTTTTCTGACTTCTCATAAGTTTTCTTTCCATTAATTCTTCTATTTTACTTCTTTAATTTTTAAGAGAAGGGGAGAAACTAAATGGAAGAGATATTTCAAGGAATAGCTTGATAGTTATTATGATTTAGTAAATTAATCTCTGACTAGATAAAGATTAAAATAAATCATTGATGGGAACAGTAGGAGGAAGAAAGCCTAAAGATGATTAAATCTCCATGAAAAGTGATAAGGTAGTCAACATATAATTTAAAAAAAATATAATTCCCATCATCTAGTCTTATTCAGTCTTAAATTCTGGACTAGTACTGACTGTATAATTCCATTAAACCAAACTCTCCGTTAATTTGGAAGAGTGTAATGATCACAAGAACAGTTATTTAATTTTGTATTTGGTGTGATTTTCGTCAAACCCAAATGAAATCTATCATCAATGAGTTAATTCCAATTTATTGCAATGCTGTAGGATATAATAGTACTATTCTCTCAGGTTTCCAAATTTGAATCTTTACAAGAATGAGTGCCACATCTTTCTTCTGTAGAGTGACTGGCATGTTCGAACTATAACTTTGCTGTTTGCAGTTATCAGCCTAACACTTAGTCCACTTTCTCTAGGGGATTCCTGTGATTGTTTAAGAGGCCTTTCATTGTGGTCTTTCAAGTTAAGACTCAGAGTCTAATTCTAGGCATGATTGTCATATAAGTTATTTCAGAGATACCCTTATTTTACTGTTACTGTATCTATGAGAAAACTTTGTTGGCCTACTGGATAGAAAGTTATGCTACCAAGCCAAAGGTGGGTGATTTTATCTGCAGCCCTCAGGACTGGTTTTAATTTTTTTTTTTTTTTGTCAAACATTCTTCTAAGTGGTATAACACAGGTCAGTTCGTTTGGTGTACAGAGACAACTGTGGTTGCTGTGATGCTAAACACTGTGACACTAATGTGTCAAATGTGATAATGGTTACCCATGGTAGACAGTGTTTGGTGGAGCTTCCTGATTGAAACAAGTTTGGAAGCAGGAGTGCCATCCACTTCCAAAAGAGCTTGCCTCCAGAAACTATGAACTTGGAGAAATGATGAAAGTTATACAAATGTTCAGGTCTTTTGTTCATAGAGTCACTGTGAGTCATCTACGACTCAACAGTACTTAACAACAACAATATATCTATTTCCATGGACTGCTAGGAAAACAAACAGATTCATCCTGGAAAGGGTTAAACCGGGCAGCTCCTTGGAGGCAAGGATTCTGAGACTCCGTCTAACATACTTTGGACATATTTTAAGGAGAGACCGGTCCTTGGAGAAGGACATCATGCTTGGGAGGGTGGAGGGACAGCGCAGGAGGGGGAGGCCCTCTATGAGGTGGATTGATTGAGTGACTGGGGCAATTGGGATGGGTGTATCAGAGATGGTGTGATTGGCACAGGACAGAGCAGAGTTTAGGGCTGTTGTACACAGTGTCACTATGAGTTGCAAGCAACTTGACGGCACATAACAACAACATATACTATTGCTAACTATTTTACTATGTAAATTTTCATTTTTGTGTAATAATTTAAGACATTGACTTCCCCACTTTTCTTTCCCTAGGAGCACTGAATCAGAAGAACTGGGGAAAGAAATATCCAGCATGCAATAGCCCCAAACAATCTCCTATCAATATTGATGAAGATCTTACACAAGTAAATGTGAATCTTAAGAAACTTAAGTTTCAGGGTTGGGATAAGTCATCTTTGGAAAGCACATTCATTCACAACACGGGAACAACAGGTAAAATTTTTCATTCTGTTTACGACCTTAGTATGTTTGTCAGAACTAGAGTGTGTTCGTTTCATCTCATTTTGTTTCAAATAATGCAAGGTAAACTGTAAACTGTAAAAATGCTATTGGTAGTATGAGCTGAATAAAGGAAACTAGAATAACAGACAACCTTTTGAAAATTTGTAGAAGAAATACAATGATGAGTCATCACTTGATGCTAGTTCGCCCGTAATGTAGAGTCATTAAAAAGAATTAAAATAAAAATGATATCTCCACTAGCAGGAATAAGAAAAATAATGCGTATTATATAGCTAGTGCATTTTAATACCTCTACCACTAGTAGGTTGTTTGTTCAATCGGGATTTGTTTTTCATGGACATTAGATTTTGGTCTTTATCTAATATTTGGATATTTAAAAGGTGATGGACTAAAGTTAACAAAAGTTTACTAGTGAGCCAGTGTATGTAGCAAGTTTTAAAAATCAGTCATCTTTAGGAAATACTTTCTCAGCCCTCTATATGATACTCTTTTTTTAAAAATACAAGCAAAATATATCATAAAACCAAAAAAAAGTTATGGATGGACAAACTGGTTTTTTAATTTACTTTGTCTTTTAATACATTGTCTTTTCAGGTTTTTATTTCATGTAAGATTGTGTCTATGTCAGTAAGTTAAATAAAACTAGAAATGTTGTTGAATCAGTACTGACTCATAGCTGACCCTCCAGCGGGTATTCCGAGGTTGTGAATCACGCAAGAGAAGATTTCCCATTTTTCTTCCATGTAACAGCTAGTGGATTCGAACTACATACCTAAGGAGTTGCCGATACAACTTCTTATCTACTAGGCCACCAGAGCTCCCTAAATCAAATATGCATGTTGGGAAAGAGTAGAACCAGAATTGTGATAGTAGTAATGTCTGGGTGATTTTGTTGTGAGTTAATTTTTTCAATATTTTCAACGTTTTTGTAATATTTGAATGTAATTTAACTTTTAATTGTGTGAAAGTTAAGATTTTTATAACACCTGATACATAATAAACACTCAAGGAGCATTAGTTGAATAAATAATCAAGACTATTATAAAATGTTCTGTTAGAACCCACACTCAACCCAACATACTTACTGCTTTCGAGTCTTTTCTGATTCATTATGAGGCTGTGTAAGGCATGTAGAACTACCCAGAAGGCCTCTGGGGGCTCTCATTCTTTCCAAAAGACTGTCTCATATTTCTCTCCCTGAGCAGCTGATGGGGTTCCAATGACACAATTCTTGTTTAGACACTAACTATTATAACCACAAAACCACCAGAGCACCACTTTTATCCTATGGTATTAACTGAATGTTTTTGTTTTTGTTGTTGTTGTTTTTGTTGTTGTAGTTGTTGTTGTGTACAGTAGAGTCAGAACCAACCCACAGCTGACGCTCTGGAGGGTTTTTAGAAGCAGTTAATCACCCAGGAGGAGATTGTCCATCCTTCTGCCGCGGAGCAGCTGGTGGCCTCAAACCACGTGCCTTCGGGATTGCAGCACAGCTTCTTGTCACTAGGCCATCAGAGCTCTCTATTTTAAATACATAAAAATATATTGTCCCAAATCTTGACAGTTTCACGCGAAGTCTAGAAGATGATAGCCATCAAGCAGAGTTGTTTTTCATAGTGTAGTTAAGACTTTGGAGACTGCAGTTGTTCTGCTAGAAATTACAGGTACGACCAGGAGCAAGTCACTTAACCTGGTCACTCAATTTCTTTATCTATTTAATGAGCAATTATGATACCTACTTTTCAGGGTCATTTGTACATGAAAACTACTTAGTGCAGTATTTAGAATGTTATGAGCAATGAGTGTATTTTGACCATAACTGTTATTGTCATCGTCATTATTACTATTACAAGGAAGGGACGTGTTGTTTCTATTTAGCCAGCTGACAGGTTAATACATTGGATCTACTGAAGTGAACAAAATTATTTAAATCAGATAGCGAGACAACAAAATCTTGCTTTAGGCACCTAAGAAAATGTGTAATTGAGATAAAATCTGCCATGGGATCAAGTAGTAAAGTGGAAGACTGGTGATTGCCGTCCAGATTCAAATATGAAAAGGCTAAAACCCATCCAGTGAGAGTGAGTCCCCGCCTTTCTTACCACTGTCTGGGAGAGAGGTGCTGGATGCTAGTGTTATGATGCTTCAGGGAATCCTTGGAGCGGTGAGGAGATGGGAGCAAAGTAGCAACTCAGGAAGGAGAGATAGGAGCTGGAAGTGAGAAGACGAGGGATCACAGCTAAGCCAATGCTTTTGGTTCCTTCTGTCCTTCTTGCCGCCTCACCTCCCTTTAATCTTTCCCATCAGCTGCCGTAATGAAGCAGAGATTTGAGAGCACAATGATCAAGCAAAGTAGAGGAGACAGGCTTGGAGTTTTCTGTGAAAGTCATATAGCAGTTGACATTTTTGGTTTCACATCTGTGGAAATAAAGCACATTCTGAGAGATTCATAATGTAGATGTGCTCAGATACTCATAAAAACATGAGAGGTTCAAATCTAGCCAGGGCCACTTCGACACAGAAACTTTTTAGTTCACTCCTATAAAAGCAGCCATTAAAAACCTGTGCAGTACAGTCCCACTATAACACATTTAGGGTCACTATGAGTTACCATCAATTCATGCCAACTTGTTTTTAAATCTGTTACACAGAAATATAAAGATCAGCTTCCAAAATTGCAAGTTAATGGTTTCACTTATAAAGCAAACGATTTTTTTAAAATGTATTTTGGATGGAAGAACAAAAAACTCAAGTTCACTACTCTAATAGCAACCCTCCACTGGGTTCCCATCGGGTAAATCTTAATGGACGGAGACTCTCATCTTCCCCCACCCACCCCATTGGGCAACTACTGGTGGATGTGAACCACGAGAGATGTCCAGCCTTCTTGTTAGCCATGCAGTGTGCTATGGACTCTGCCACGTGACTGCCTTACATAGAAGTTAAATTTATAATTTTGATTTTCAGAAACTTACATACAATTTTATTATTTCTTATTTTAGTGGAAATTAACCTCATGAATGACTACCATCTCAGCGGAGGAGTTTCTGAAATGGTGTTCAAAGCAAGCAAGATAACTTTCCACTGGGGCAAATGTAATATGTCCTCTGATGGCTCGGAGCATAGTGTAGAGGGACAAAAATTTCCACTCGAGGTAAGTCAGTGGTTCTACTGGTTACTATTTCACTTTCTAAGGATCATTTTGTTTTTATCTGTCATGTAATTTTATTCATTTGTAATTCAAATATTATCTTTTATATAATCATATTTTAGGTGATTGATATCTGCCTTTCTCACAAGAGTAACCACCATAAGGATAAGAATCAACTTTGAGTTTTGTTGATGACTAAATTAATGAATAAAATTATTTTCTAGACCAGTAGGAGAAAAGGGGTAGATCTACTTAAAAAAAAAATCAAAGAAATTAAAATGAGAACATTTTTTTCAGCTTTAAAATTGGTAGATTCAATGCAATTATAAAAAATAAGAAAAATGAAACAAATACCTTAATGTGTGTCTGGAGAGAGTATCAATTGATAAACTATCAGTGAGGAAGGTTGTACATTTTTTACAAGACTTCTGTATCTAGGTTCTTAATACTCATCAATTCAGTTTGTAGCAGTTTAGCCTAAAGCCTGGTTTTCTGCGAAGATCTATTTTTAGTACTAACAAATTAAAACAAAAACAATGATTAACTGCAATGATGATAACATTTCTAGATCTTGTAAAAATTTTATTCTTCAAGAACATATTTATAAGAAATATATTAATGTTATAAATCAGAATATAGAGTATTCTTTTGATTATATAAAATACCCAGAGTAAGTGGTACAGAATCAAAGTCAAATGGACTAAATTTTAATCCTGGTTCCACCATTTAGTTATTCAACATTAAGTAAATATTTCATTTACTTAAGCTTTTGTTTTCTCTCTTATCTTGTTAATTGACATCTTGTTAACTGACCTACTTTGTGAAGTTATTGTGAGGATTAAGTGAAAGAATGAAATATTTTAAAAGTAATTAGGGAGAATGTTATCTATTGGTGGTAGTGTTATTAGTATATTTTATTTTCCACTTTTAAGATTTTTGTAGTTTCTATTATATACTGCCTTATGTTCCTAATCCAAAGTAATTACTGGTAATAAAAAATACCAAGGTGAGTAATCCTTTAAATGGCTAAAAAAAAAAATTAGACACATTTATATAGCTTTTTCAAGTTTGTAGCATATTGTTTTTATATATTGAATATCTTTTCCAAAAAAAAAAGTACATTAACCAAAGATGATTTACAAAAGTTCACGTCTTCTTATTGAACAAGTAACACTTTGCTTTTGAGAGTTCTTTCTCAAAGCATTATTTTGGTTATTGTTAGATTCTGTCAAATAGGTTTGGGATCACAGAAATAAACCCCATGTGACAGAGTAAAATTGCTCCATAAAACTTTCTTGGCTATAATCTTATCAGAAGCAAATTTCCAGGTTGTACTCCTACTGAATTCTTCGGTTATCAGAAGCAAATTCCCAAGTCATTCTCCTTCTGAATTGCTGGATGGATTTGAACCACATACTTTTTGGTTAGCACCTGTGTACTCAGCCATTTGCCAACAGGCCTCCTTACAAGTCAAAACAGAGACTTCGGTTCAAATCTGCTGTCTGTTCCACAGGAGAAGTTTAGGCAGTGTGTGATTAACTGTATGATTAACTGCCCCTAAACACCCACTATAGGTTCAGCTATGGGTTGGTTCGGACCCAATGGTACACAGCAACAACATAGACACATAAAGACTGAAGCAGAAATTACCGAGGAGGGGGTAGCCTCACAGCAGGAGGAGAAGTGTGACATACAGACCTTAAAACTCTTTCAGTGTGGTTTCACAGTGTGGATCATAACAAACCGTGGCTGACTCAGAGAAGAATGGGAATCCCAGAACACTTGATTATTCTAATGCGAAACCTATACTTGGACCAGGAGGCAGTCATCAGAACAGAGCAAGGGAACACTGCATGGTTCAAAATTGGGAAGGGCGTACGCCAGGGATGTGTCCTGTCTCCATACCTTTTCAACCTGCATGCAGAACAGACTATCCAGGAGGCTGAGCTCTACGAGGAGAAATGTGGCATCAGGATTGGTGGAAGATCGATCAACAATCTGCGTTATGCAGATGACACAACCGTGCTCGCTGAAACTGAGGAGGACCTGAGGCACTTGCTGCTGAGGGTCAGGGACTGCAGCCTTCAATATGGATTCAGGCTCAATGTCAAGAAGACAAAGATTCTCACCACTGAACCAATTGGCAACATCAGGATGGATGGTGAAGAGATTGAGATTGTTCACAACTTTAGTTTGCTTGGCTCCACAATCAACACTCTTGGCACCAGCAGCCAGGAAATTAAAAGGTGCATTGCCATGGGAAAGTCTGCTGTTAGGGACCTCTCCAAAGTACTGAAGAGCAATGGTGTCTCTCTGAAGAGTAAGGTGTGTGTCTGATATAGGCCATGGTCTTTGCAATCACTTGGTATGCATCAGAGAGTTGGACAGTGACCAAGGAGGATGGAAGGAGAATTGATGCCTTTGAGCTGTGGTGCTGGAGAAGAGTATTGAGGGTGCCATGGACTGCTAGGAAAACAAACAGATTCATCCTAGAAAGAGTTAAACCAGGTGGCTCCTTGGAGACAAAGACTCTGAGGCTCCGTCTGGCATACTTTGGACATGTTGTGAGGAGAGACTGGTCCTTGGAGAAGGACATCACGCTTGGTAGGGTGGAGGGACAGCGCAGGAGAGGAAGACCCTCTATCAGGTGGATTGATTCAGTGACTGGGGTAATCGGGATGGTGTGTCAGAGACAGTGCGATTGGCACAGGATAGAGCAGAGTTAGGGCTTTTGTACATAGGGTCACTCTGAGTCATGAGTGACTCAACAGCACATAACAACAAGAAGACTTTGAACATTCCACTATTAATACAGAACAATTTTAAAACACTTATTTTACTGTTAGTATAGAACAATATAACTAGATCTAAAAATGGTTAGAATCATGAATAAAGTAAAGAGAGAATAAAGTCTATATTTTAAAAAATTCTAGCAAAATAGAAAACATTAGCTAGCCAAAATATTTACCCTAGTAAATTACTGTTCCATTATCCTCTAGTAATTGAAACTAGTATTTCAGTTACTCCTTCAAGTGGTAATATGGGACCTGTGGCACACTAGGTTAAGTATTGGGCTGTGAACCAGAAGATAGAGGTTTGAACAAGCCACTCCACTGGAGAATTGAGGCAGATTCATTCTGTTAACAATTTACAGCTTTGGATACCTGAACGTGGGTCACCATGAATCAGAATCAACAACAGGCAGCTAGTGGGTTTATTTTTGTTTGGCATGTGTCTTGGCAAAGACAGGTTTACATGTGGAGGCTAATAGTTAACCTTGATAATTTGCATTTTTTTCTTTCAGCATTGCGGGAGAATCAATGGTAGTAAGCAAATTTTTCTCCAAATGTAATTGAATATTTTGAAGTGATGCAAAATAGGAAATTAAGAGTCTATAAGTTTTTTTATTGAGTGTGTTGAGTTGATAAGTGACTTTATTACCTCTCTGCCTGTTTGTGTAGCCCTTGTCAACAGTACTGCTGTTGTTGTAAGTCATTGTTACATTTTCCAGATGCAAATCTACTGCTTTGATGCGGACCAGTTTGCAAGTTTTGAGGAAGCAGTTAAAGGAAGAGGGAAGTTAAGAGCTTTATCCGTTTTATTTGAGGTAATAATGTGCAGATTAATGCTAATTGATTCCACTTTTTTTCACATTGAAAGATACTAATGTAAGCTATCAAGACAATCTGTAATAATTAAAGGAGAACATAATTGGAATGGTCATTGGTGGTCACTTTGAAAGACTGTCCCTTGAGTTTTAGAATGATAGTCTTGTATTCATAAGTTAGTACTAGCAAGTTGTACTGCAGCTCCGTATATTTGCTTCTTTATATATGCAGTGCACCCAAAACTGTATAGCAGTAACTTTAAAACAAGCTATTTTTAATTTTCTTAGTGAAAGAGACATAGGTTTTGAGTGGTTTGCACTATTTTTCAATACTCTGAACAAATGAAAAATGTATGCATTTAGAGTACCTGCAATGGAATATAGCAATCTCTACCTTTTTTTAAATTTTATTCACTAGTTAATATAATCTTGATTCAGTTCTTTGCTGCTCTTGTCTAACAGATTGGAACAGAAGAAAATTTAGATTACAAAGCCATTATCGATGGGGTGGAGAGTGTCAGTCGCTTTGGTAAGTTGCTTGAAGAAGTATCTTTTTCTCACTAATCTAGTTTGGATGCATGCAAGTTTTTATAATATTCTAAAAATCACTTGTTCATAATCATGATTTGAAAATGTTTTTAAAGATGTGGTTTTTCCCTTCTCTGGCCCCATATTTAAGATATTTCTCACCATAGAGTTCCTACCAGTCAAGTCCAATTTGACAGTACACACACACACACACACACACACACACTAAAAAATAAAAATCATTTAAAAATTTTTTAAAAAGAAAACGTGGTTCCTTGACAATCACAAAAGATTTAAATAAAGAATTAAAGTTTTTGGATTTTATTCTTGCACATAATCTAATCATCTGATGCATTTAAAATACCTAATAAGGGAGTTCTGGTGGCCTAGCGGCAAGAAGCTGTACTGCAATCCCAGTGGTGCACAGTTCAAGTCCACCAGGTGCTCTGCTGGAGAAGGAGAGACAGTCTTTTCCTGTGCTAGTCATATTCGATTTGACAGTACACACACACACACACACACACACACTAAAATAAGTTAATATAAAAATAAAATAAAAATATATACCTAACAACAACACCAGGCTGTCTCTACGGGGCTCTAGAACATACTGCTTTGGATGCTCACCAAAAGGTTGGCAATCTGAATCCACCAGTACCTGTAGAGAAAGACGGGTAGTCCCCTCCCGTAAAGATCTGTAACTTTTCCAAAACCTGTTGGAAGGTTGAAATAGGTCAGAACCAATTCAACAGATGTGTGTTTGGGTCTTTATTCTGTCTCTTCACTGTTCCTTCTTCCCTCTAAAGACCAACTATTAATCTGGAAGCGGTAATTTTCTCAAAATTCTATTTCAAAGTGAAAAAGGAATTTTCACTGAAGTTAAAAATATATTCCCTGGTGGTTTTCTTGATAAATCCTTCTTTTATCAATATGAGGAGATAAGATTATTTGAAGCAGATAAATGCTTCCATAAACACAATGCAATGTGCTTTGATATTGCTCTGCCTGTTTTCCATGGCTCTTGTAATTTGTCACAGCAAATGCTTTTGACAACACTAGCAACAGACTGCAAACCTATTATTACTGTTATTTTATTTTTATTAAACACCCACATGCAGAGTATTAAAACTGCCTTGAGTTATCAATAAAATGAAGATTATTACCCTCCTGGAAGCTGCAAAATTTGAAATCAGAAATGAGACTCAGATAGAGACTTTTATTGAAAGCAGAAGCCTGGCCTAAAACGGATTCATCTTTGTCAATTACTTGTGAGCATCTAAATTGAACAAACTTTTCAAAGTCAGGAGGATATGAACTCCCACAGGCTCACTTTTCCTCTTTCTTTTCTTTTTTTAAAGTACAGTCACATGCAAGATGATACCATCAGCTCCATGCTTCCACATAAATAGCCAGAAACAACATTGAAAGCCACAAATCGTGTTTCATTTTTTACCTCATTTAGTCAAAAAGAGTACTAGATCCAGACTGAAAAAGGTAGCTGTTTGAATTTATGGTCATTGAAATATCTGAAAGAATTGTCCTCACACCAGCCTGTTGAGAACAAAGAAAGCCAATTTAATAACACCTGGAAGTGAGTCCTGACAGTACAAACCTTGGCCATTTCACTCTTAATTTCTCTAATTATTTCTAGGAATTTCAAGAAAGTCACTCATATGTGCTTAGGAATACATTTCTTCTTTTGAATATTCTTCAACTGACGTTTCCCTTTTAATATCCACTGTCTGAAAACCTCATTCCCCTCCCAGAGTCAAACCCATTTCTCTTGTCTTCCCAACCCCTCCTTTTATTTCTTTATTTTCCTTCCGAAATACCGCCTTGATGTCAGTCAAGGAGTGGTGAAACAAAGGGTGTTACAGCGATTCCAAGAGGAGGCATTAGGGGAGGTCTGGTGGACCAGCAGATAAAGAGTTGCATTGCCAACATAAAGCTAAGCCGTTAATATTGCCCAGCGGAGTTCACAGAGAAGATGACTGCGGAGTGAACTCCTTACTGCGAGAGAGGGACAGACCCCAGAAAGTACCCTCAGTGGTTCTCACTGGGAGTTCTCATCAGTATAAACTAGGGCTGCTGTCTGAGTTACAAATTCAACCAAGAAATATTTGTATTAAAGACTCACAGAGTTTTGATATGAGTGTAGCCAACTATCGTGCCCATAAGTGAAAAAGGTTGGTTTAAGTGACTCTTCAAAACCCTGGTGTAACAGTGGAGTAAGTACTGGGCTGCTACTAACTGCAAGCTCGTGTACAAATTCCCTTCCTGCTTCATGGGAGAATGAGTGGTGAGCTTCTCCCTTAAATACTTACAGCCTTGGAAACCCATCAAAGGTAGTTATACTCTGTTGAACTCTCCTCAAGAGTTTGGATTTGGTTTCAGCTTTTAGTCACACTTTTCTTAGGCATGCTGGGGTCTTTGGATTCCTTTACCTTTCTGTCTTTACTGGCTTTTCCCACATCTTTTCCCTTCTCACTGTCAACCTTGTTGTGGATGGTGGATCTGATTGTCTAAGTAACCATAAATACATGTTCAAATAAATCATGTTGAGAAAGGTAGGGAGGCCCTCAGCAGCATGGGTTGACACTGTTACAAGTAACTGCAGCAGTGGTCCTGAGCGTATCAGAGATCCGGATGATGGTGCAGGATAGGTTGGGTTCAGATCTACTCTTCATAAAGTCATAGCTGACATGAGACCACATAACTACATAGGTCCAAGTGAATAGTGACTGAGTCATAGAGCGGTTTTGTTTCTGACGCCGTTCTTTCTCGTGTTAACAATGGTGAAGTCCTTGGAATGAAATATGTCTTTACAGACAAGCCTTCAGAGGCAAACGATGTCATTGAATAGCACTTCTGATATCTGTGAACGAGAGTTAGCACATATATACATAAAAAGAACAAAAACATACTAGTTAGCAAGTTTCAGATGTGAGAATGATGTCATTAGCTATGGTATTGACCCCAGATTTGGAAAAGTGCCTTAGACAAGGAGATTAGACATTTGTCATCAAGAGGCATCCACATCCTAAACAACATGTTTCTGGAAACTCTTTGAACTTTGATAAGTGTCGATAGTTGTAGAGGGGCTTCAGACCTTCTGTTCATAGGATTGCTATGAGTCCTGCTTGACTCGAAGGAAATCAACAACAGCAGCAAGGTTTTCAGAACTAGATCACCAAGTGTTCCGGTTTAGTCTGTCTTAGTCTAGAGCCTCTCCTGAAATCTGGCCAGCATGGACTGTAGCACTCTGCGTGCCTCCACTGACAGATGGTAGCTGCATTTAAGGTATTAACCAAAAGGTCAGCTGTTCAAATCCACCAACCGCTCTACAAGAGAAAGATGTGGCGACAGCCTGCTTCTGTAAAGAGTGCAGCCTTGGACACTATATGAGGTGACCCTGAAGGGTTGCTGAGAGCCTAGAGTTTGATGTTTACTGAGATTCAGATGCAGGAAGTATAGATTCTGTACCAGAGGTAAGGAGCAGGAAAATTAATCTCTTTTGCTTCTGATTCTTTCCTGTCTTCCCCTTGTTTTTTCTTTTAATTTCTTCCCTGATTTTATGTCATTTCTTTATCTCACCATCTCTCTTCAGTTCTCACTCTACTTTCCCTTTCCTGGCCTCTCACTCTTACTGCCAGTTCATTTCCTGTCCAATTTCACAGTGAGTCGATTTCCAGCTCCTTATTTAATTAGCATCCTCCACGCCCACATTTCCACAGAGCCTTCATAAAATAGATGTTGCCAAAGAGGAAAAGAAAACCCAACGATTCCAGTTCATTGAAAATTAGGAAGACAAATACTTAAATAACCTTTTCAAATATTAAAAGAGTAATAGTAAATTGGAAAATAGCTTAATTAAAAATATATATTCTTAGTCTTCAAGAATTTATATATGAGTCTGAATTCTGATAATCTTGTCACTGAAAGAAAAATGGACATAATTTTAAAAGCTCTAGTGACCGAGTGGTAAGGAATTATGCTGCCAACCCAAAGGCACATGGTTCAAATCCACCAGCTGCTCTGTGGGAGAAAGATGGGCGTTCTCCTCCCATGCAATTCACTGCTTCTGAAAACCCAGTGGAGGGTCAGTTCTAAGATGAGAGTACACAACAACCACCACTATTAAAGCACATATAGTGTCACTTTTCTAATGGATTAAATCTGAATTTACGTTTTATCCACATGATACCAATTATTGTTTTTAGGTGCCATTGTAACGAATTCTGACTTAGGGCAACTCTTTGTACAACAGAAAAAAAAATGCTGTCTGATGCTTCACCTCAAACGTCATTGTGATGTTTGAACCCATTGTTGTAGCTACTATACCAGTTATCTCACAGAAATTCTTCCACCTTTTTGTTGATCTTTTTCTTTACCAAGTAAGAGGTCCTTCAGAAACTGGCCCTCCCGAATGACAAGTCCATATTCAGTAGTTAGGCTAAGAAAACAATTCAAGAAGCTCTATAGCATAGAGAAGAATGTGGCATCAGGATTGGAGGAAGAATCACCAACAGCTTCCGATGACAGAACCTTGCTTGCTGAAAGTGAAGATGACTTGAAATACTTTCTGAAGATCGAAGACTTCAGTATGGATTACATTGCTACGTAAAGAAAACAAAATTCCACACCCCTGGGACCAATAAGCAGCAGTATGATAGATGGAGAAAAGATTAAAGTTGTCAAAGATTTCCTTTTATTTGGATCTGCATTTAACACCCACAAAAGCAGCAGTCAAGAAATGAGAAGAAGCATTGCACTGAGCAAATATTCTGCCAAGTACCCTTTTAAAGTACTCAAAAGCACTGATGTCACTATAAAGACCAAGGTGTGCTTGACTCCAAACATTGTATTTTTCTTGATGTCTATACATGTGAAAACTTGACAATGAATAAGGAAGATGAAAGACTTGTGATGTTGCCAAAGAAAATCAAGTTGACTATGGAAATTGTTGTTGTGTATACCATCAAGTTGGAACCAAATTGTAGCTGACCCTCCAACAGGTTTCCAAAGACAGTGAACCACAAAAGAGGAGATTGCTCATCTTGGAGCAGCTTATAGTTGTGAACCGTGTGCTTCTGGGTTGGCAACTAAACTCTTTACCCCTAAACCACAAGAGCTCTCACCTGTGGAAGTAGTACATGAAAGAAGTGAGCATTTGTTAAAAGCAAGGATGGTGAAACTTTGTCTTACTTATGTTGCATATATTAGAACAATTGCCAGTACCTAGAGAGAGGCATCAAGGTTAGATAAATAGATGGTAAGCAAAATAGAGGAAGACTCTGAACAAGGTGAATTGACACAATAAATAAAGCACTGCATAGCTGGTGAAGGCAGCACAGGGTTGGTCCGGGTTTAGTTCTGTTGCACATGGAATTGTATGAGTCAGTCGTCTTTAATGGAAACTAATAACAGCCTTCCTTCAGAAATTACTGGATTGCAGAAATATGAAAGTTTTCCATTGAGGATCTCTCAATGTGCCTTAACTTCCTATGTTGTTAGAGCTAGTCTAACAATGTCTCTTAATGAGGATAAATTCCGGTTGGGTCCAACTCACAGCTATCCTACACTGGATTTCTAAGACTATAAATTGCAATGGGCGGAGATTGCCCATCTTTTTCCTGTGGATCCTGGTCAATTCGAATTGCTGGAGGCAGGAAGCCTTTGGATTAGCAGCACTGAAAGTGAACTTAACATAAACCAAACTCTAAACTTAAGTCCAAGCCTCCTGCCTCTAATGTTAATCTTAACTCCAAGCCTAACCCACACACCAACACTAAGACTACCCCTGTTTTCCGTGTTAGATGTCATAGAGTTGAGTGTGACTCATGGTGACCCTGTGAACTAAGAGCTCAACTCTGTCCTATCTTGCACCATCCTTATCATCCTCGGAGTGTTTTATCTTATTGCTGCAGACACTGATTGCATCTGGTTGAGGGTCTTCCCCCTCTTCACTGACACTCCACCTTTCTAAGGATGATGTCCCTTTCCAAGGAATAGCCTCTCCTAATAACATATCCAAATATGTGAGAGAAAGCTTCTTTTCCATCTTTTCCTCCATGGAGCACTTTGGTTCCAGCCGTTGCCCTAACCCTTACTGAAAGCAAAGTTACTAACTAGTTCAATAGTAGATCATTGTGATTTCCTTAATTAGATTGTTGTTGTTGTTATTGTTTGGTGCTTTTGAGTTGAAACAAACCATAGCTGTCCCTCCATCAGGTTTTCAGAGACAGTAAATCTCCTAAGAGGAGATTGCCCAGCTATCTTTCGAAGAACAGTTGTTAGACTTGAACCAAGAACCTTAAGATTGGCAACAATAATTCCTACCACTAGGCCACCAGAGCTCCCTTTAATGAGGATTTCTGTTGTGTTGCTGTTGTTGTGTACTATTCATTTGGAACCAACTCATAGCTGACCTTCAGTGGGTTTTCAGAGGCAGTAAATTGCACTGGAGGAGATGGTTCCTCTTTTTCCTGCATGGCAACTGGTGGATTTGAATCGCATGCCTTTGGGTTGGACCCTTGGCCACCAGAGCTCCATGTTGTATTGGAATGTTGTTGTTGTTATTAGGTACATTGAGTCAAATAAGATTCTAGATATAAACAACAAACCTGAACCCTGTCCTATCCTCATCATCTCTGACACACTTGAACCTGTTGCTTCTGTCACTGTGTTTATCTATCTTATTGAAAGTCTTCTTTTCTTTCACTGACCCTCCACCTTTCCAAGCACAATGTCCCTCTCCAAGGAATAGACCTTCTAAAAAACTTTCCCAAGGAATGTGTGATCAAAGTTTTCCATCCCTGCCTCCAAAGAGCACTCAGGCCTCACTGTCCTGTCTCCAAGACATACCTGTTTGTTCTTTTGGCGGTCCATAGGATGTTCAGCACTCTTCTCCAACACCAACACTCAAAAGCATCAATTCTTCTGTCATCCTTATTCATTGTATAGCAAATGATTAAAAAAAAAAAATAAAAACAACACAAACCACCAAACTGAATCAAGTATACCTTAGCCTGGTGAGATAGAACGCTTTAAAATAAGATGAAATTCTGATGACAGCTTTGTTCTACTTGGTCTTTTAATGCACAATCATGTTATCTGAAGATAGTTGTAATGCAAAATCATTTCTTAGGATTTTGTTTTGGGTTTTTTCCCCCTGCCTTACTGTCCTGGCCACATCCCCCAGTTCAATATTAAGTGAAAGTAGTTCACCTTTGACTAGTTCTGGAATTCTAGGAAAAAGGTTTAAATAAATAATTTATATATTCACTTTTTAAAATGTATTCACTTTTGAAGACATTTCTCAATAGATAAGAAACTTTCTATTATTAGTTTGCTAACAGGCTTCGTTTTTGTTTTTATGAAGTGGTTTTGAGTCATATCAAATATATTTACTGTGGCTATCAAGATGATAGCATGATATCCAAATATCTTTTCTATGTAAAATAACTTCTGAGCTTCTTACTGGTGTAAAAATAAGGTACTTAAGACTATACAGTGATAAAGTAAAAGTATTTTCGTATATTGCCATTTTATTAAATGTATCTAAAATGTATTTACATTTTCAGCTCTCGTTACATACAAAGTATATAGGTCGCTGCTTCTTTGAAACTTTTTAGTTGCTTGATTCTCTCTTAGCAGTCCAGCTAAGATGTGTTTTATTACTTTATAGGGAAACAGGCTGCATTAGATCCTTTCATGTTGCTGAACCTTCTGCCAAATTCCACTGACAAGTATTACACTTACAATGGCTCACTGACCTCTCCCCCCTGCACAGACACGGTAGACTGGATTGTTTTTAAAGATACAGTTAGCATCTCCGAAAGCCAGGTAATTCAAACAAATGTTATCATATGAAGTAGTTTAAAATTGAGTTATTGTCTAACCTTACTTCACAACTACCTATGCTAAAATATTTACTGGTATCTTGGGAACATATAATGCTAAAATATTTTATCTTCCTTGCAGTTGGCTGTTTTTTGTGAAGTTCTGACAATGCAGCAGTCAGGTTATGTCATGCTGATGGACTACTTACAAAATAATTTTCGGGAACAACAGTACAAATTCTCCAGGCAGGTGTTCTCCTCATATACGGGAAAGGAAGAGATTCATGAAGCTGGTATGTATGAAATATATGGTTCCTACAACTTTCATAGGGTTTTTTAAAGGCCTGTTATTTAGGAAGTAGATGGCCTATCTCGCTTCCTGGTCTGTCTTAATCAGGGAACTCCACCAAAACTTTTCTACCATGGGTAACCCAAATGGTATTTGACACACTAGTGGCACAAATTTCAGTCTCACAACAGTGCCAAATTATCTCAGAACAGCAAATTGACTGACAAGACAAGTGTTGTACCATTTACAACAATGTTCTCCTTGACCACAGTTAACACCAGGCCTATGGACAACAGGACTGAGGGCCCAACCAACTTTTAAAGCCCAGACCACCAGGTTCCTGATTGCTTAAATAAGAAGCTTTCAGCTGACAGCTGATTGTTAATGAAATCAGAAGTATCCAGTCAGCTTGCACTTGGGTATTAATACTTCCTAAAAATCAGAAACACCCAAACAGTTTATACCCAGCTTTCAAGTAAATAAAAAACACTTGTTGTGGTTTTGTTGATTGCCTTCAAGTCAAGAATGACTCATAGTGACCCTATGAACAAAAGGCCTGAAGCCCTTCTACAACTATTGACATTTATTAAAGTTCATAGAATTTCTACAGCGTGTTGTTTAGGAAGTGGGTACCACTCCTGCTAAAAAAAAAAAAAACAAAAAAAAACAACAACAAACTTACCCTCAGGAATTCAACTGCTCTGAGATAAAGACTCACCTCAGACAGGACCCAACTGACTTTTAAATACAAAGGCCTGCTTACCAGGTTCAAACCCTCAACCATATAGATTGACACCATGACTGCTGCAATGGACTCTTATGTGTCAGGAAGTGTGAAGATGGCACAGGATAGAACAGGGTTCTTTTGTTCCTAGGGTTCCTGTGAGTGGTACTCGACTCAGCAGCACTTAACAACAGCAATAATAACTCTCACAGATTTATTGTTGTAAGAAGTAATGGTGGTATAATAAGAATACTACTGGGCTCAGATTTTTAAAAATCATTTTGATTAAGACCTTTGTGACACATGGGTAAGCTGTTTGAAACTCAGCCAGCACATCTATAAAAGAGCAATTCAGAGATGAAATAACATTCACTTCAAGTAGTATAAGGTCTCAGTTATGTGAAGTAGCTATAGGCAAATGTACAGAGAAAAGCACTTACTGGTGCTCCTCTGGTGGAGGAGTCGGGAGGGAGCTGCTCTGCTAACCCACAGGCCATGCCTCTTTGATGGTTTTAATCTACCAGGGGTCCCATGGGAGAAAAATGGGAAGTCTTCTCCCATGTGATTTACAGCCGCAGAAATCCAGAGGAGGGCCAGCTATGAGATGGTTCCAACTCAATGACAGTGAAATGACGAGGTCATGATGAGGGCCAGGTGGGAATGAAAAGAGAGAGTCACTGTTCTTGAAGTAGTGGTTGTCCATTTATGGCCGTGGGAAACTTGGCAATGATTTGGGGTGATGTTTCTGTAATGTGATTGATGTAATTGAGATTAGTAAAGTGTGTGTGTGTGTGGTTTTCTTGGAGGTCCATGGTATGGTCAAGACTTCTCTAGAACCACAACTCAAAAGCATCAATTCTTCTTCTATCATCCTTATTCATTATATAGAACATATGATTTACAAAAGTTGGTTTTGATATATTTTTATAACAGTGGAAAAACAAAGCACTGCCCTTCCCCAAATGAATAATCCCATTTTACAGATGAGAAAAAATGAGATTCTGACAGAAAACAGGGGATATTTTTCCCCCTAAAGCTCATGGTAAGAGGTGGCTACATAATATGCACATCTGTAAGTTCACTTTGAAATTCACTTTTCAGAAGTTGTGTATTTTGAGAGTTATAACAGAGGTGTATATAAAAAGTCAGGGTGTTCAAGACTGGGGGTAAGTGGAAGGGAAGGAACCCTTCCTGGTTAAAATAATCCAGAAACTATCGTGGGAGAACATTCTGATTAATCCTGATGCCTGATTGGGCTCCTTTCTTTGGGGAAAAGGTTGTCTTGGTCAGACCTGGTTATTGAAGGGGACCCTAAGGAAAGTGTCTGGAGGGTTTTGTCTTTGGAAGCTTGTACAATAATTGGGGAATCTTTAAAATGTCCCAAGAGCACAATATGATACTTTCACTGACATGTTCTTTTCCCTTCATACTAAGGTCTTACTGGCTTGTGAAAGAACTGAAGTGCCCCTTGATCTGAGGAACCCAAACATTGCCAACAAGTAGATAGATGGCCTTCTTTGATCTCAGCCCTGCAAAGAATTTCTTGCCATGTAGAATATTCATTTCATAATCATCCCCTTTTGAAGATTAGGCATGCATATGCCATGCTTTTATTGTTTCATTGTGACATTTGTGAGAGTTGTTTATCCTTTAGTAAATAAAAATGGAGAAAACACGAGAGACGGCAGTGATGAATAGCTATATTTAATGTGACATTAAGTTTCCAATTAAACTGCCCTAACGTGAGGAAATTTAATTATATTTCTACCAGAAATGCAAAATTCTGTAATATCCTGTCTAGTAAATAGAAGACAATTTATGGTGGGTGGGGAAGATATGATTAATCAGCTCCTTTTCTAAAATACAGTAGATCAAATTAATTAAATATGATTACTTTTGTCATTTTTTTTATCATTGATAAAAAGATTTATTAACACGTTGCTGCACACTTTTAAATTGACGACTGTGCCTAGAAGCACATTTGCTGTCATTTGCGGCAAAGTGTTAAAATCCTTCAGGGACTCTTATTGCTTTTTAGAATGAAAGATTTTTTTTTTCATTGCAAGGTAAACCCTGTTTAGTGCTTCCTAGTCTTTGTACTGCAAACCAAGAGGCGGAGGCTCTCAGAAATTCAAACCCTTCATCAGTTCTTCAGGAGAAAGATGGGAATCTCCTCCTATGTACTTTACAGCCTGTGAAAGCGAGTGAAGGGTAAACTGTGAGTCAGTTCCAGAGACAGAACAATGAGTTGTCGTTGCTGAAGCTTTGTACTTACTCCCCCTCCTAGTGAACGCTGAAGTCCTGCAAAGATGGTAGGCCGTAGCAGATTGCATTTGTGTATGCACTAGCCATGTGTTACTCCACGTTGTCTCCACACTGTGTCCGTCTCATCATCCTTCAAGGCTCCAACAGGGAGGGCATTCACTGGGAGGCCCCCTCCGACTCTGTCTCATTGCACCATGTCTGGCTCTGGCCAGGGTTATTTACATAAGGTCAAGTTCAATGGTGTTCACTCTAGAGTTGAGTGACCTGCCTGTGTGTTTTCATGCAGTCTATTGTACATGCTTCATAAGAATAGCCATAGTGTGCAAATCATCAGCTTACCTGTTTATCTTCCTTAAGGGACTCTCAGTTTCATGAACGGAGTACCTATATCCTTCCAATTTTTAACTCTATCACTGAGCTCGAATATAGCTTCTGTACACCGAGTGGTTGAAAGAACCCATTTCTACTTACTAATAAAAACATAGCAGGTGATGGATTCCTCTTACATATGTGTAGCTGCATAGGTTTGTTGTTGTTGGTTGCCGTTGAGTCGAGCACAGCTCATAGCAACCCTATGAACAGAAGACCTGAAGCCTTTCTGTAACTATCGACATTTATCAAAGTTCACAGTTTCCAGAGGCACATTGTTTAGGAGGTGGATGCCACTCCTGCTTCAGTGTAGTTTGAGGTTAATGAAAAATATTACTGTTTTCACAGCAAAGTGATAGAAGCTAAATCATAAAACAGAAATTCTTATTCAGTATTGTGTGACTATTCCCTACATGGTCTTGAAGTGAATGTAAATCATGCAGCTTGGTTAAGAGGTCAGCTTTATTTTCCCCACTTTATATATTCATTATCTGGTGTTAAATGTCTTTCCCAAGTTCACACAGTAGTCAGTATTTGACCCCAGGCCTCACTGAGACAAAAGCTTGCAACAGCCCTCTCCATCATGCTTTATTATTAATAAATGTTGAATAGTTTCAGAGTAAAACCCCAAACCAGTGACCTTAAGGACATAGATCTTTACATACAAAAACAAACACAAAACATGCTGGCTTTGGAGCCCTTTATTCATGCACAGGAAAAAGAAAGAAAAACTGCTTTCTAAACGACTTGGTGTGTAGGGTTACATGATGTCAGAGAGGAGGAAAGCAAGTGTTTCCTTACATGCAGCATGTGCGAATCAGTCTTGTTCGCTTGAGTTACACATTACAGAATTCCATGTCCCAGATCCCACCCTATCGTGATTGTCAGACTAGCAATAATTTGGTTTATCGCCTATTTGGTTGAAACTTGGTTCAAAAGAAATTAAAATATTGCTAACTAGAATAAATTCATGACACTTAAAAATGTAAGATTCAAGAAAAAAAATCACACAAGTGTTTTACAATTAAAAACAGATATTCGCAGACTGGCCATGGGCTTGCTCAGCTTGCTTAAGGCTGCCTGGTCATACTAGTGTTCTTGTATTGCTGGAAGATGCATGGGATGGTGGTGGGAGGCTGCAGGTTCCAGCTTCTCAACATAATGTCTGTCATACACACTTGTCAGACACTGCTTAGAAGGTATCAGTCTTTTATTTCACCTTGGGATAAACCAGAGTACTCAAAACCCAACAGTTGTCTATGAGTTCATATTTATAACTCATAAATTGTAATATGAAACTTGGGTTTTTTTAAAAAAATATTTTACATTGGTTTGCTTACAAAGTTCATATATATTGTGCTTCACACTCTTCTTCATTCACTTTGTTTCATACAATCATTCCCATTACTATGTTTTATAAAATTATCTTTGGACTATACCCATCATTATTCTGTCTTTTCAATTCTGTGCCAGATCTTTCCCATTTCCTTTACCCCTCTCCCTTCACCTACCAGATTGTACAGTCCTGTGACTTCACCCCTGCCCATCCTCACCCCTCTGCCTCCACCCCTCCCCCTCTTGAGTCCTCATAGATGTTTTACTATTTATCTTTCTTTTTTTTACAGTAATGGTCTTCTGCAGTATTT